TTACGTATTGATTTGAATGCGATTTACTACTTTGTTTCCTCCATACTTTAGGAATTACACGCTTTCGAATCTTAGCAATACCATTGTATCATACAGTTAGCTAGGGCACAACGGTTTTCCTTCATGGTTCTCCTTATTATAAATTATCTTACAAACGCCATGTGAAAAGCGATGCAAGTCGGACAAGTGTTTAATTTATTAAACCTCTGACCTTAATAGGTTGTTATGTGGTTATATCTTATAATCTTGGTAAAAGTTTTTCATGAACAGTTAAATACCCGGACCTTTTTTAATTTGAATATTCTTGTAGTGTATTTAAGAATCTGTTTTCTGGATAGATTTTGTTTTCTTCTTCTTTTTTTTTAACTAAATTTCTTTTATTTTATACATAATATATACATACATATAAACAAAATTGAAGTGAATGTCTGTAATATGGAAATTAGATGTTATTGTTTGAAAGAGAGTTTTTTGAGAAATCAAAAGTTGATAAAATCTATTTGTCTTCGTAGATTTACATCTTTAGGACGCCACTCTAATAGATCCTAACTAGGCGAAGCCTTGAAGGCAGTGTATAATAGTTCTTAATTAAACCCTTTCGCAGTCCCGTGTACTATTTATTTTATTTATTTATTTTTATTTATTAGGAAAACAAACAGTGTTTTATTACAAAACAACATAACTGAATTAAAACTATACACCATTTACATGTTTTCGCAATTGAATTACAAAAGAGCTTGTTCACTTGATACACTTTTATTAAGATGGTAAATGACACCTAAGGATCAGTTCGAGAGCCATCAAACCAAGAGTCCGTCAAAGTGGTTTTGAAACGAAGTGTTGAAGAAGTAAAGAGATCAAGCTGCGTAGACGCCACTGCACTATTTAAAGTTTTTGCGGCACGAATAAAGAAAGTGTTTTGTCTGTAATTGGATGAGGACTGTGGAATATCCAAACATATAGGTTGCCTTGATGTTTTATAAGGCACCCTCATGTTGATTTTCGAGAGTAAATGCGGAGAATCTACACGGTTTTGAGCAATTTTGACTAGGAAAACCACGTCGGCAATTTGTCTCCGTTCCTTTAAGGGTAGTAAATGGTGTCTACGGCACCCCGCCTCATAATTGCAATCGTTGCTTCCCAGCCTGTACTGTAGATATTTCAAAAATCTACGTTGTATGGACTCGATCCTATCAATGTATACATTGTAACGTGGATTCCATACCTGTGAGCAATACTCAAGAATACTACGCACCAAGGAACAATAAAGGACCTTAATTACCTTTATACTATGGAATTGGGAGCTCGACCGAAAAACAAAGCCCATAGTTTTATTAGCCTTTCTACAGATTTGGTCTATATGCCTTTCGTATGTTAATTTACGATCATGCATAATACCCAGATCACGAATCTCATCTACCCTGTGTAACACCTGATCAGTAAGTTTATATAGAGTTTCCACAAATTTAAATTTGCGAGTGAAAGTCATACAGTAACATTTCTGAATGTTTAGCCGTAAGTTATTACGAAAGCAGTATTGTTCAAAACGTTCCAAATCCTCCTGTAATAGCTTAGTATCGCGTAGTGAATCAATCCTTTTAAATATCTTCATGTCATCCGCGTATAGAAGGAAGTTAGAGTGTTGGAAACAAGAGGCTACGTCGTTTATAAAAATATTAAAAAGTAAAGGTCCCAGCAAAGATCCCTGGGGAACTCCAGAAGGGACATCATTCCAGTTTGATGAGAATCCATTCACTACTACTGCTTGCGATCTTTTTTCAATGTAGGATGTAAACCAACGGTATAAATTACCATGAATTCCAGCAAACAGGAGCTTTTGTAGCAGTATTTGATGATCAATACAATCAAAGGCTTTGCTAAAATCCGTAAAAATAGCGTCAACTTGACCCCCAGAATCCATGCCAGCTGTAAGAAAATCTGTGAAAAATAAAAGATTAGACGAAGTAGAACGCATCGCTAAAAATCCATGTTGTTCTGGAATAAAAAATGATGATAATGATTGATAAACTTGAGAATACACTATGCGTTCAAACACTTTAGCGAACAGGCATAATTTAGATATAGGTCTGTAGTTCTTGATGTCATTTTTACTACCACCTTTATGTATCGGGGAAATAAATGCGGATTTCCAAATACGAGGTACAAGTCCCTCCGTGATTGAGCGCTTGAATAGAATAGATAATGGTACGGAAATTGACTCTGCGCATTTGACGACAAAGATCGGTACAATCTGGTCTGGCCCTGAACCCTTGGTTAAGTCTAAAGCCTTTAATAACGTTAAAATTGAATCCGTACTGATTTCCACATTACTAATACAAACAGAGACGCTATTTGAGTTTAAAGGTGAGTATTTGAAGTTATTACTATGTGACAATGGAGTAAGAAAAGTGGATTGGAAATACGAAGCAAAAAGATCACAAATACCATGACCAGTATCTGCAGACCGTCCTTCGTAGTGTAATTTAGACGGAAGTGAGTTAGAGCCCTTATTGAATGATTTTACAAACGACCAAAACTTTTTTGGTTGCCTAACTATCGCATCTTCCGTGCATTTTATGTAATTATTATAGCACTCCTGTTCCAGGCGTTTAGCCCTAGTTCTAAGAAGTCGAAAAGTATCGAGGTCAACCATGTTACCATATACCTGATATCTTTTATAATATTTGTATTTTTCTTTCAATAGTTTCTTGAGTGAACAGCTATACCAAAGTGGAAAAGAGGAAGAAGTTATTATTTTATGAGGGACATGTTTATCTCTAACATTATATAAGTGGGCATAAAATATATCAACGGCATTGTCCAACGGACCATTGTTCAAGTCTATCACCCAGTTCACTTTATTTAGTGAGGAAGAAATGGCCTCGTAATCTGCTTTATCATAAAAATATTTGAGTCTGAGATTAGTTCCAAGTGAATCGTCTAGAGCAAAGGTCAAGGTCAGATCTAACGACTTGTGGTGAGGGTCCTCTGGTACCAGAGGATCGTTACATGCCGATACACACACGTATTTGTTACACAAAACATAATCGAGTATTCTATTGTTAATATTTCTATTCAAGTTAAACTGATTAAGGTTGCACTCGGCTAATGTATCGAAAAATAATAACTGCGATTCACCAAGGATCCCAATAGGTTGCAGACAGTCAATCTCACCATTCCAGTTGATGTTACTTAAGTTAAAGTCTCCCATTATTAAAAATAAGTCGTTCGGACATGAACTAACAATGAGTGACAGCTTCTCTGAGAAGTTTTGCAATTGCGTATTGAAAGAATTACCTAGATTTTCCTTACACAAGTATAAGGTGCAAATGTGAATATTATTTGAATGTAATCCCCGTTTTCCTTTTTTCAATGTGATTGTAACCCAGATGTCTTCGGCAGAGGAGTGCCATTCTGGGCGTTCCACTGCAGCTAACCGACGGTGAGTAGCCAACAATACCCCACCTCCATACTTCAACTGTGTCGATTGATAATTCCTATCACGCCGCCAGACAATGTACCTATCATCGAATAATTCGCTATCACTTAGACCATCCGTAAGCCAGGTCTCCGTTAGTGAGATAATATCGTAAGAGGACAGGAGTAAACTCCGCTGGAATGCGTAAGTCTTGGTGCGTAGACCCCGAGCATTTTGGTAATACAGTTTAAGGTCGTACGAAGCCATTAGTAATCATGAAAAACATATACAAACACGTGCGCATACACTTACATATGTAACCACATAAACATACACATACATGCACACGCATACCTACGCATAAAAACATATATACACACACATGTGATACATAAATATACATACAATCCGCAACTTGAGCAAAACCGCAACTAATAAGATTATTATCAAAAAAATAAAACATGAGGTACCAATTATCACTATAGATAATCACAAGACCAGTGGACGTATGAGTGTAACAGTCACTCTCAGCCCATAATAACAACATGAAGTATAATTTCATTATTACGTATATATAAGAATGTGTATATAATGATAAAAATACAAATAAGGATACACCTTCAGGCCGATAATACCCGGAGAGGCGGGTACTCAGACTTAGTAACAAAGTGTTCGCATCCGTAAAATATAAGAGTATATAAAATATATTTTGTAATAATAATATACCTTTACGCGTATAGTACTTGAAGAGACAGCCATTTACAATTCCTATGTACTGGCAATTACTTGAACATAGGAGAGAAAATTGAGCGTAAACGCGTAACAAATTCCAGTTTAACATTAACATTAAGACGACAAGTCCAGAAAATATAAATGGTAATAGATTACGATTGGTGGTACTATTTCGATTGATATTAGTATTAATTCGAGATAATTTCATATTAAAATAGCAAATAATAACAGCAATAAATAGTAGGGTAAATATGAAATAGTTAATAATAGGTCTTGTGCAGTCGAAGTAAATGACAGGCAAAATCAGACTTAAGTTTAGTAGCGCGCAATCTAAAATGGGTAGTACGCTGATGTATAAACGTGCCCATACGGGTGAACGTTGCGTCAATGGCTGCATACTTACATATGATATTAGCTTGAACTCTGCAACACAGTCATATTTATGGATAAAATAAAACGTTAACAAACAGACGGTGACGGCTCTCAAACTTTGTAACAATATTTCATAAGACAATAAATTTTTTGAGTACAAAAGAAAAAAGGTCAAATTAATATTTAAACTATTCTGACAAGATCTTTCTCGCACCTTATAAAAAATATAGGAGAAGTATCAGACTTCCTGGCCATAATTTTTGAGTGCTTAACCCATATATATTTAAAATTATTATTTTTCGCCAGAGATTTGGCTTTGCTCAGTAAAACCTTGTTCCGTTGAGTTAGGTGATCATTCACATAACAATATCCAGTAGATGCAAAGCCCATGTCCGACACCGACAGCCGAGTCTTACGCGATGATGAAACAAAATTTTCCTTAATATATCGATTGTTAAAGGAAACAATTATTGGTTTCTCAACATTCGGTACACGAGTGGGCACTCTGGCTATATAATTTATATCTTCTTTTTTTTACAGGAAAATTACACATGTTGCCAATTTTCTGAGTTAAATCATAGAGGTCTTCATTATTTTTTTGTGGTATTCCCCTGATTTCAATATTGTTGGATCTAGCCCACTGGTCCCTGATGTCAAGTTCCTGGTTTAACTTGGTTATTTCCGCACGCAGCCCTGATACGTCATTCGCCATCTCCTCCGCTTTAGCTATCCTCGATTCCAGGGATTTAACAGTACTCGAAAATTTATCTATTAACTCATGTGCCATTTCTAACGACGACTTTAGACTAATGACATCCGACTTGATGGATTTGATGTCTTCCATCAGCGACGCCAATGGAGCCAACCGTAGATTAATATGGCTCAGCTGTTCTAGCACACTATCCATCTGACTAATCGCTGGTGAGTTAGGAGTCGGCGAAAGTGGTGGGCCCGCCTTGCACTTCGGACAGCGCCAGTTGTTCTTCCTGTCACCAAGCTTCCGAAACCCGGTCTCAGTAACTCCAGCACAACCGAAGTCGTACCGATTCTTACATAAACTGCAAACAGGACCGTCAGAGTGTTGAAGGCCGCAACCAGAGCAGGTAAACATTATGAAAAGTTTGAGAAAGACTGATTGAGAAAGATTGAGATAACTATTCAAACGAACAAGCGTGTGTTTAGCGACAATGTCAAAGGACGACTGATACTATGTATAAGTCATTGCTGTTGTGTTACTATTGTGTCTGAAAACCGGACAGTGAAAGTGTTAATATCCTTCTAGCCCATGGTTTGACACCATCATTTGCAATTTTCCCGTTCCAAAAGAAGGATTTTTCTCGGGTGTATATGTTATCTTTGTGTATTTGTCGTGTGGGGATGGCGTAAGAAAATCCATCACCGCAATCCCGCCCCGTGCATTTCGTACGAGGCATTTATGGAAACGCCAAAATGACCTTCTATGGTAGTTATATACTATACAGTAGTTATATCTCAAAAATAAAAAGTAAAGTAAAGTAAAGTTACAGCCTATATACGTCCCACTGCTGGGCACAGGCCTCCCCCTCATTTCTGAGAGGGTTTTAGGGCAAGGAAGTGTCCGCCGCGCTGCCCCAATGCGTGTTGGCGAACTTCACATGTCTTCGAAATATTTTTTTCTTATTTTACCTGCAGACATGCAGGTTTCCTCACGATGCTTTCCTTCACCGCCGAGCACGTGGTAAATCAGCACTTAAAATTGCATTTAACAATTTCATAACAATCTCAAAAATGTTAATAATTATTAGTATATATATTTTTCATAGGATAAGGTGACAAACGAGCACACAGTCCACCTGATGGTAACTGGTTACTATGGCCCATAGACATTACATTCATAATACAGACTACATACTAACATAATACTCAGACATAACACCAATACAACGTACGTAATAATAGATCACTGCAGACTGGTTTCTTGGTTTGTAATAATAACTTTCTTATTTATTGAGTTGATAATTGTAGTTGTGTTGTGTTGTACCCCAGCGTTAGTCAGCAGTAGGTATTATTAAGAAAAAAAAGCTTACATACATCACTAAAGTCCTCAATTCCATGTAATTCATTTAATTTTTTGTGTTTCTAATGGGGACACAAGATAGTTTTTATTTTAGAATTGCTTTTTTTGAGTCTTGCTTATCTATTGATGAGGTATTGCCCTCGAACACGTTGTTCATTATTTTTTTAATGTGATACTTTGTAATGTAAATTTATAACATATTTGTATTGTGATGTAAAACAACATAATGGTTGTAAACACTCGACTGTAACCTCCTTTAAAAACCTACTTTAAAGGTACTGTCGTGGGTAATTAACGGAAGTACCCCATTTCAATTCCAATTTGAAGTGTAGTTCGGGTTCTGACTTTCTATTATGAATTAATAATAATATTACAAAAAAAAAAAATACGCAGTAGAGCCACGCTGCAGCTATATTATAGTCGTAGCATGAATGGATCTGCTCCAACTCTAATTAAATAAAATTATTGTATATCATTGATGCCTTGTAGGTACTGGATGCGCCTTTTTCCAGAGGGTGTAGTAAGGACATAGAGCTTTAGCCGGTTGCCTGTCCCCAAAGGCGGTTTGGGTAAGGTCCCCGGTGGACAGTGAGCCTAAGAAGGTATCGTGGTATCTAATGCATTTTCCGCCTCCTACGTATAGGTAGCCTTTCTTCGGGCGCAAAAAAATGGATGGGGCGACCACGCTCTCACAGAATACCAGCGTAAATCAGCTGCTGTGTTTCCTATGGTGAGCGCAGAGAACCGGAGACCCTTTTTACTGGAATCGAGGCACTCCATCTTAGTCCTCAGGGATGGCAACGCGTTTGCATTTTGATTCTTAATTGAGGATAAATGTGGATGTCTATGGGCCACAGAATCCACTTACCATCAGGTGGACTGTGCCCGTTTGTCACACAATGCTATAAAAAAGTTAACGCCCAATATCATTATCGTAATCTTCTTTAATGAACTTTAACTGTCTCAAATTTATTGTTATTTACACAAAAGACCAAATTATAATTAGAGTAAAAAAATAAGTATGTGGTATGTCGGTAATGAGAATAAAGTAATTTGTAAATAATGAGGTAATTATAAAGTGCAGTTATGCTTTCTCACGTTTAGTATTTGTTTACTTGCGTTTAAGTGATACACACTTATTTTTTGAATTCACGTCAAACGTAAACAATAATGATGTTATTTAATTTACGTGTAATAAATAATTTTGTGTCGCTTAACCTAAATAATTATTTACTGACACGTAATGTTAAGTCTGTTTTCTTTCTTCGATGTTTGTTGTATACACTAATCTGAAGATAACCGCAATTTTGCTTTTTTTTTTTTTTTTTTTTTTTTTTTTTTTCCCTTGGGGGTGTACCCTTATTGTTTTTACACTATAAATTGTTTATTACTAATGATTACAATGTTATAAGATATTAATAAAGATATTGATTAATTTGCAACCTTCCGCTAACTAAATACAATGATGTGTCTTACCTGGATTGAAGAGAGAGTGGTGACGGAATTAGTGCACGCAATTGAGGGAGGGCGGGAGGTGCTCTGCAATCCAGGTAAGACACATCATTGTATTTAGTTAGCGGAAGGTTGCAAATTAATCAATATCTTTATTATAATGGATTTCCGCAAAGTAACGCCTGATTATATCAATTATCTTATAAGATATTTGCATCTGAAATGTCAAACTACGTTAAATTTATAAGGTGTAATAATGAAAATTTTGGGCAATGGATTTGTATTTTTCTGATTTTTAACACGTGCGACATAAATATGTTTAAAGTTTTAATTTTGTACAGTGGGATAGAAACTTAAGTTTTTGCTGTATTAACGACTGATGCTGACGGCTCTGTGGCGCAGTAGTTAAGTATTGAGTTATAGCACTGAGGGCCGCGGGTTCGAATCCCGCACGGAACAAGTATTTGTATGGCCTAGAAGTAATTGTTCCGGGTCTGTATGTTTGCACTTGTGCAATTTATGCATGTAAACTGCCTCCACGATACAGGAGAAAATCCTAGTGTGGGGGGCTAACGTTTTAAAAAAAATAAATGGCAAAAAACTTTTCTTAAAAAACAACAAAAAATTATAAAATTTTGAGCAATGGATATGTACTTTTCTAATTTTAAACACGTACGATATAAATATGTGTAAAATTTTAGTTTTTTTTAGCACAGTGGGACAGGAACTTCAGTTTTTTTATAAAACGAACTTACACTCCACCTGATGGTAATTGTTTACTGCAGCTTAGAGCTGCAGAACCGGATCCGGTTCCTCAATTTTTATACTCGGTTCTAAATGCGTTTTGGAAACGGGATTCCAGATTCATAATGTATTTTTAAAAGATGTTATTTTTTCTAATTTGATCAAACGTTATTCTTGGCACACTGTTAGCCAATCGGTTAGCGTGTTCTTACAAAATTAAACACTTGCGCTTAAACTTCCAAATAAAAAAATATGATATATTTATGAAAAGATCCAGTCTATCTAAATAGTTTAAGAAAATTCAAAAACTTTTAAAGAAAATAAGAATTAACTGTTATTAACTAAGTATCTTTTAATCTAACTATATAAAGCTAACAATTCTATTTTATAACCAACTATAAATGCAGCTAAATATTTTGTTTTCTGAGATCTATTAAACACAATTAAAACTTTTTCTAATTTCAGAATAAAATACTAACAAAACTAAAAACTGAAATGACAATTATAATTAAAAATAGGTAATTTATCTAATCATTTGTTACAAAACAAGTGGTAAAATCAAAAACTTTGTACAACCGAGTTCAATACGACCTAATCAATGTATTCGAAATCAATTAAATACTCATTATTTAAGAATAACTCAAAAACTACTAGTCAGATCTTGATCAAATTTATATGGGACCATACGAGAAGCACTAGCTTTCAAATAAAAAAGAATCACGAAAATCGGTTCCAGAAAAAAGTTCTGAGGTAACACACTTTAAAAAAAAACATACAATCGAATTGAATACCTAACCCTTTTTGAAGTCAGTAAAAAATAAATAGTAACACTATACGAAATCATGATACAATTAATTTATTGTTGAAAGAACCGGGAGAAACGGGATGCTGCTCTGCAGAAACTATTCCGTCCAACTACCAAAGAACCGGAACTTCTCGGGAATTCCCCGTTGTGGAATTATGTATCCATTTTGAATTCCTTGTCTATGGGTCCTGCAGCTAACTTCAAGCATAGAAGGCCACAGATGCAGAATTGCATCCAGATAGAACACGTTAGGTGGCGCGGTGAGCTTCACTCCAAATTCATTCCGGACTTGTGTAAATATTAAATTTTTAGACCATTCATGGTCTAAGCTAAAACTGCACCACTTATCGGCACAAGATTTTGCGAATTTCTTTTTTGTAACCAAACCAGCACATAGTAATATGATTGGGAGTAATTTTAGCCCATATGAAAAGCAACGTCTTCCGGGACAGCTAGTTTAATACAATATATTAGCTTCATCTGGGATGCAAATTCAAGATCCACGAGTCGCAACATAGGTACTAATCAGTGGCTTGTATGTCAATATTTTATTATTACGTACAGATCAGTTAGTGTCAATGGTTGGGTTCGGGACTATGCAGTGCGATAAAGCAACGATGCAAGATTGCATGCAGGTCAATAGCATGTTCGGACGAGGTGGTAGATCTATAGGCGAGTTAAATGATGTACGCGGCAGATGCAATTCTAAAGAAAATAGAAATGGCGGCAATACTTCATGCGACACGTAAGACACGTTCGTTATCCAATATGGTATATATTGGCAGAGCTTTAGCCGCTGCCTATGAGTGTTGATGAGAAATATCAGCCAAATTATCGATTACTACTGTTCCTTTATTATCCTCTATGCGTAATAAAGCCACGCTGCAGCTATTTTATGGTTGTAGCACGAATGGGTCGGCTCGACCGGGGAAGGACCACGCTCTCACAGAATACCAGCGTAAAATAGCAGCTTAATAATGTTGTGTTTCGTATGGTGAGTGTAGAGATCCGGAGACCCTTTTTTACTGGAAACCAGGCATTTCATCTTAGTCCT